AAAAAACAAAAAACAAAATAACCAGTCAATTTTTTATTTTTTGTTTTTTGATTGGCAATTGAAAATAGAAAGAACAAATGATACACGGATTGGAGAGGGCTGACGATTTGTTTGGTTTTTTTTTTTCACCTGAGAACCAAAAGACCTTCAAAGGGAAATTTTGCGGTGGAGTCTCTCAAGGACTTAGAGGAAGGTTGTAGGTATCACCAGAAGATATCTGATTTTACTGAGACGTTGGTAATCTAGAGTGGGAACTCCCCTAGTTATCCAGGTCGGCCCCACAGGATTGGTGTGCATATTAGAAACCAGTAAATTATCTTTAGATAATGGGACAGGTTTGCAGTTCTAGAGCACTAGGACAAAGGCAAGGTTTCAGGGAATTGTCTAGTCCCCAAGGAGAAATTTAATTCTAAGAAAATCTCTTTTTCTCTTTTCCTCAAGGAGGTTATATTAATGTTGCAATACAAAATACAAAAAATTAAGATACGGTAAACCAATATGAGGCGAAGTTAGAGGAGGATTAACAAACAGAAAAAGACATGTTTAAAATGTTGAATGGATGAAGAGGAGGATTCCAAGAAATCACCTCAGCTCCATAGAGAAACGGATTAAAATTAGAAGGCAAAGAGGACAGTGTTTAAACCTTACACTACGCATATTTACGCTGTTTGATATTTTACACTTAGACTATACTAAACTCTAAACTCTTGCAGGAAATCCATAACTCATAGCTACAAACTACTAAATCAATAAAGAAAGTAAGTAAAGCATAAAATAAAATTAAAGTTTAAAAACTTGTAAAATGGAGGTATTAACCTAAAATAAAATTACAGATTAAAAAGAAAAAGCATGTTTTAAAATCAGGTTGGGGTGAAGGTTTGACAGGACCCAAAAGCAGACATTGAAGCTGAAGTATTTTCTTGAAGAGTTAAAGGGATAGTTCGGTATTTTTGACATGAATCTGTATGGCATCCCCATCAACAGTGTCATGCAATCACACTGACTTACCCCTGGCAGCGTCCTGTGAGCAGAGTTCTCGTCCAGTTTTGGTCAAGCCGAAAGTAGTCCGGCAGGTTTGCTAGACCCAGCGAAATAAAACGTTTCTCTTCCCAAAACATTATGTGTTCAAAAGAGTGATATTTTTGCATCCCAAAAATGTTGTAATGGTAAAAGTCACACGTTGTTATCACTTGGGCCTATTTTCTCTCTGTTTGTATCAGTGCGCGCCGTCATGTCTCACGGAGACATGCATCTG